AGAAAAATTATCTTGAATCCAAAATAAATCTCAAGACTGTGACACCTCCAAACTCCCGATAAAAGAAAGATAACAACAAATTGATATATCGACCGACGCTGAGTTGAAACTAAATTTCAGTCAAGTTGATACCATACATTTTTGGATTGACATGAGAAAAGAATATCCTGAAATTGCCAAAAGATCTATGAAACATCTAATGCCGTATTTTAAACCTATGTATGCGAAAAATCATTCTCTTTGTATAGGCTGAGACAAAAACAAAACACAGAAACCGATTGGATGCTGATGATGAATTAGGTTGCAGATTAAAACAATTATTCCAGACGTAAAATACTTTGCAATAAGAGACAATCACAACCAAGTCATTAAAAAATCCTCTCTTATTAATTTGTTGATTTAAAATATTTTTGCTTTAGATTATTATTTTTAGAATATATGTTAGACCCCCCTTCCCCTAAAATATCCATTAGTTACCTCACCATTCATTGTTTTATTAAGACGTTTCTAATGTGATGAAATAGAGATGCTCTAATAATTTTGTAAATTTGAGTAGGATAAAGCTTTGATATCCCACTTTTTTTTCTCTTTGATCGAGAGGCTTCTCCAGGAAAACGGTAAGCTCAAAGGTTTAACACGTTGAATACCCCTACCTTACTGTATAAATGCCTCACTTTATAATCGTACTTTAAAAATAATCTTTAACGTTCGAGGGTGGCTCAAAAAGTACTTGTATTTGAAGACAGATGGCATCAGTGAGATAAATTGTTGTTATTATTGGGTGCTGCCATCTGTTAAACAGTGTCGAAATGTATTTGACATTGATTCATAAACTAGTTTTGATTTGGTAGTCATTTGCTGCCACGTAAAGTTGTCGACGTCATTTTACACTGAGTTGTCACCGCCAATGAGAACTGGATTCATCATTACGTGACATTTCCGGTGATTCTGCTCCAAAAAAGGCGAGGAGGATCTCATCAGCCTGAAAAGTTATGATGAAAACTTTCTGAGGTGCTAATGGCGTCAAGATCCTAAATACGAGTAACTGAGATTTAAGTAACTATCTACTGAGTAATGATGCTTACTAAAAAAAAAACTTATTTTTTCGATGATAATATCATTTCTTGGAATTTTTAAGGATTTATTCAACGATCTTCTTTTTTCACATTAAGCATGTCCACAGAGAAATAAAACATACATATTACCCAATACTCAAATTAGACTATTGAACGACATTTAATTATTTCAAGCTCAGTATCACTTTTTTTTCTCCACCTGTATTCTTTTATCAAGCAAAATTTTTTAAAACAGCTGAAATATATATATATATATATATTTCCTAATCAAAGTTACTTGACATAAAATTGTTTTGACGAGAGTTCAACTTTTAATAGATTTTGAGGACTCATCTAACGATTATAATTAAGTGCATCTTTTGACTTATTTGTTAATTTAAATGAATTGTCTGATTTAATAAAATATAACGATGAAACGGGGGGGGGGGGTTTGGAAAGAGTGCGTAAGAAAATTAAAATTTATAACATTAATCAATTGTTGCATTAATCTTCAAGATAAAAATGTTTTTCACATTTACACTACTAATCTTTTAATTCGTAATTAACATGTCTGAATAAATGTTGATATGCCATAGAGGTTTTATCGCAAGAATAAAATGCATATAATTACTAGAAAGATTTGAATACTTTTATTTTTTAAAAAAAAAATTATCCAAAAAAATAATTTAGTTTATGAATTTGCCACAGTAAAAAATAATAAAGTTTATATAACTTTCAGTGTCAATATTTGTAGCTTATTTTAGATTAATTTTTAATGTACCTTGCTTGTGACTCCATGGTAATTATTTCTGCTTCCTTCGAAGAACATTTAAGTTATTCTAAAGCTAATTATTCATAGTATTATTTTAAAAATTAAAAAAAAAAAATTAAAGTCAGATAATTAAAAATTTAAAGAATGTTAATCACAAATATAGTCCAAAACTTCTGTTTATAGCTTTAAAAAAAATAGTTTGCATTCTTTTAAGCTCTTCCAAATATTCCTAACATAAAAAAAAGAACTTTCGATGACTGCGAGAACTTTTGTTTCCAATCAGAATTCCGGGAAAGAAGAAAAATAATTACTGAAACCGGAAAAAATATTGCAGCCGGTGGGATTCGAACCCACTTGGAACCCATACAGAAGCGTCAAAGTTCTGATGTGTTCGCCTAACCACTCAGCCACGACTGCTCGTTCAAGGGGTCAAGTAAATTGTTTAGGGGTTTACAGAGGGTTCAGCTAGAGATCACTATTTGCTTAACTAAAATGTGCCAAAATTTTACTAAATTTTAATTTTTGTAAGAGATTTGATTCTTAACGATAGTTTACTGGTAAAAATTAATGTAATTAAATGTTTTATGGATAAATTATAATCTTATATTTCGTAAAAGTCACGTGCTTCAAATATATTAATCGAGACGCATTAGTTCACATATTAGTCTCCCTTCTTCGGAACAAGTAAAGAATCACCTACTTATTTGGCCACTTATTTCACTATTTTCAAGGTTTAAAGAAAATTTGATGCCACCCTTTTAAAATTGAAATGTTGGGCAGATTGCATTTGAAAGATAATTTTTAATGCTTTCCTAATTTGCATAATATTTTAATAAACAATAACACTAATCACCATAAAAATGTAAAATTTAGTTCGGTCCAACATTTATCACATCAGCAAAATATTTCTTGAATATTTCCTCGTTTAAA